CCCAGCCCCTAGTTGGGGGAAGCTCCAACTGGGCTGACTATCCTGTGAATAGTTGTTCTCTAGATCATATTTATAAATACTGAGACTTCCTTGTTTTCTTACAGGTGCCACAAAATATACTGATAAAGATAATGGAGGGATGCTTGTATGGTCTCCGTATCATAATATTCCAGATGCCAAGTGTAAGTCCTTTCCTGCTTAGGAATGTGGATGCTTAAGTATAACTATATAATTTTTTTCTAGTGTGCCTCTTCACTCTTTATTTTATACACAGTGGAACTGCAAATTAGTAAATTAAACACAAAGCTCTTTTTTTTTTTTTTTTAGAGAGCTCTGGGGAAAGGAAAGATCACCTTCTTTTATTTTGTAGTTAAGTCTTTGTTTCAGATCACACTGCCTGTGTTGTATCATCATCAGTGTCTGTGAAACCTTCAGTTATTAGTAAAAGAATAAAACATCTAAACATGAGGACCTTGGTGCTCTAAATTTCTAGGAGAAGGGGTTGCAGTGGATAAATTCAGAAAAGATATGTTGAGGCCCAGTTCAAAGGGAAATTATTATTCCTGTCTTAGCAGGAAAAACTGAGCATTTTCTCCCTTCAAAAGTGACCTGAAATACAGGAGTCATCTGACTAAATATGATAAATTATCTGTTTAATCTAGTTTAAACCTGCCTCCTATTCAAGAATTTCCCTTATATAATTAGAGGAGTAAACTTTGAGGATGCAGTCATGAGAACCTGATCCTCAGGATGGTTTCTACCTGTTACCATTAGTTAGAGTTTGTGTCCCTTTACATTTGAGGGAACATACCTTCTCCTACTGTAGAACAGTTAGAAATAAAATACTCTAAAACTGTGATTATTAAACACTTTCTTCATTCCTTTAAAGTACAATTAACTCTTTGCTTCAGCAGTTCATGGCAAGAACATCTCTGGTCTATTTGAATAATGAGGATATAATTATTTCCTTTTCTCAGTCATGCTTCCTTTCAACTACATGTAGTTGGCATGTAATTGTGAAGTGTAGAGGGTGAATGGAAAGAGTTTGTTTCTTTAAAAATAAAAAAAAGTACCTATTGAAGATCAAAACTAGCAGAACTTAATTGCAAAATGATGGGAAGTATTCAACTCAAAACTGGCTCTAGTATGACCAAATATGATCTTAAAAATGTTATCGGTGAATTTCATGACCTAATGATTGAATTTTCATATTTGCTTTTGAAAACTTACTTCCTGCCATGGTTAAATTAATGTTGGTCAGTGAAAACCATATTGGTATTGAGGATATGCATAATCATTGATCTAGGATCTCTTTACATTAATTTTTAACATGTTTGGGAATATGAACAGTAGAAGTAGTTCAATTTAAAACTAAATCAGGTGTCTGAACAACCCCACAGTGTGTCTGCATTCTTAGGAATGGGTTCCAAGAAGAGAGAGCCTTTCAATAACCAGCTAGTCTCTGATTTAAATAAATAAATTACGAGCTTTGTTGCAGTAAAAATGTGAAAGAAAGCTTCTTTTTCACTGAGAACTAGCTTGTGTAAAAAATTTATAAAATTAAATGTTGGATTAAAGACAGCAGGCTTATTTATTATTAATAAAGCTATGAATATATTTAATGTTTTGGGGGGGGCCCGGGCCTATGCATTGTATGAAAGCATGGGAAGACTGTTTTCCTGTGTTAGATGGCTAATTCTGTGTCACCTTATAGCAAAACTAAAAGTACTAACGAATAATTATGATACTGCTTTGTTACAGTGGATGAATATATAGCAATAGCAAAGGAAAAACATGGATACAATGTGGAACAGGTAAGTGCTATGAAATGACAGTGGTCATTTAAGGGATTTTTTTATATATAAAAGTATAACACAAGTCTTTTTTCTTTTTTCTTTTTTTTTTTTTTTGTTCCCCTTGGTTACCATTAATTAACGCTGTTTCTCTTCAGGCACGGCAGCAAACACTGCAGTTAAATGGATCTGCATACAGTTGTGGTCTGGATTCTCTGCAAAAGATTGAGCTCTTTGTTTTCATGACATGCTCAGCTTGTAATGTGCACTTTTGAAAGGTTTGGTATGTTTCTTGATACACTGGGCATGTCATGCAATTGTGTGTGTATATTTGGCTAAAGAATTTCTTAGGAAAGCAGCTTACAAATTTAGTGTTTAATATTTATAATTCAAATATGATACAATTTTGAATCATTAATTGTGATAGGGACAGCACTTGAAAGCTTCCTTGCATATTTAAAAAAAAAAAAAGAGGCAAAACTTTGAGTTTTTTCAGAGACAGAAAAGCAGAATCAAATGATAGGTTTGAGAGTAACAAACAAGTTCACTTTTTTTTTTAATAGCCGTTACTCACTATCCTGTAAAAAGTACCAGATAAAATTTTGCTGGTCTGTGCTTAGTTTTGTTGCAAGTTTCTTCATAAATTAACCAATTTATGTAAAAGTGAGATTATCTATTGCAAAACATATTTGGTGTACAAGTGGAAACAAGTTGTGTGATCAGTTTTTGGAGGATGGAAGCTCATATAATAGCAAAGACTTACTAGTTAACTGCTATCTGAAAAAGAGGCTGCCAGTGTTACAGTGTCCAGAATACCTGCAGTTCGGTGATACTTATTTGTGGCTTAGCTTTTGTTAGGGTCGAGAAGGAACTGAGGGATCTCAAAATAAGTCTACAAAAAAGACTAAATTTCAACACAACTTCTGGTACAAAGTATTTGTAGACTGTTCACAGTGGAATAGAAATTATCTTTGCAAGAGGTGCGTGTCACTTGCCATTTTAACAAGAAAAAGAGACTTGCTAAGTCCAGGTTATTAGAAGATGTGAAATCAGGAGTTTGGAAAGCTGATGAGGAGCTGGTAATCATGTCTGCGCTGTGTGGTTGAAACTGAGTGGATTACATTTCCCGATTCCCATGCCAGACTGGGCATCAAATCTGTGATTGATTCTCTGGCAGAAAGTTTAATCAGCATAAAATTCTTTAAGAGCATCAAGAAATGAAATTATATAAGAAAGTATATTTAAATTTCCATTCCTTATTAGGTGCACATGACATGGAAGTGGCCGTGCTGTTATTTGTGGATTGGAGAGTTGTAGAAAGACCACTCTCACTTTGAACTTTCAGACTTGCATTTTGGATGATCCTCTGGCTGCTGAAAAGTATCTTTATTTTCCTTTTTGAGTGGGCTGGTAATAAAGGCCTGAAGACCTATAAGGAACTGTGTAGGTGATACAGTCTTGTAAAGGAAGAAAGCAGGTCAGATTTGAGCCTATCAGCCTAGTTCATGCTACTTCAGAATTACTGCTGCCATGCCAACCTTAAATTGTCTAGCTTTCATACCTTTAATAAGTACAGATGTGCCCACTCTTTGTATCCTCTCCAAAGAGAATTTTGTAACCTGTAGTATGTAGCCAATAAAACTGTAAATACATTTTGAGAAGGGGTTCTGATAGTCAGATTTTATTTTAAATAAATAAATTGCCTTTTTGTATTTAACTTGTCTCAGCATTTTAGAAAGTTGACTAAATCCAAAAAGGGACTATTTCTTTTCAAAGGCTCTCGGCATGTTGTTCTGGCATAAACACAATATTGAGAAGTCCCTTGCGGATCTCCCTAACTTCACACCTTTTCCTGATGAATGGACAGTTGAAGATAAAGTCCTATTTGAACAAGCATTTAGCTTCCATGGAAAGAGCTTTCACAGGATCCAGCAAATGGTAAAGTACTATTGTAATTAGAAGCATTAAGAAGTTCAGATGCACTAAAAATAAAGGCTCCTGTTGGGATAAAATTTCATGTTGATTTCTGTGTAAAAGCTTCAGGAGCAACCTTTGAATTTCATTATGTCTCTTGGACCTATATCTTTTTCACTCTAATAAAAAAAGCCTCTCCCCCCTTCCTGTTTTGGGGGTTTTTTTTAATGTATATGAAATACATCCCTCCCTTCCATCTCATCCATGCCTTTAAAATATTTGGGTAAATGTGGTTGTAAATGGAGCAGAGTTATAATCTCGGGTGTCATTTTAATTTTAAAAAGTATTAATATGTTAATGAATTCTTCTAGCTTCCAGACAAGACTATTGCAAGCCTTGTAAAATATTACTATTCTTGGAAAAAAACTCGCTCTAGGACAAGTTTGATGGATCGGCAGGCTCGAAAACTTAAAAATTTAGCCAATAGAAATAATCAAGGTGACAGGTAAGTTTTATATTCTCAAGTAGCTAACCCGAGACTGAAGTCTTGCTAGGTAAAAATGTCAGAGTAATTTCCAGCCATTATGTTTCAATGTGAACCATGTTTTTAGGTTTGAGCATCTGTGATGATGTCTCTGCTTTTAGCAAGGGGTTTGGTACCTGTGCTTTAAGAACTCTATCATCCAGTCAGTGTGAATTGTAATAACACACTCGAGTACTTTAATGGATAACTGTAAAAACGAGGGTTTAAAAATACCTGAAGTCTGGGAATGTGGTTTAGAAACAATGCTTTATTTGAGAAGTCTAACCCCATATTACTGTGTAGGGAGTAGAGTGCTTTTGTGGGTGTGCGGGTTTTCTGTGTTTCATTGTTTTTTGGGGTGTTTTTGTTTGTTTTTTTTTGAATGGAATTAGAATGGAATTAAAACTGAAAGATCACCCACTATAAAGAGCTGTAGCAATTAGAATGCCCAAGTACTGTTTTATAACAAAACTACATAAAATCTTATTTTAGGAGACTTAGAACCACTGTCAAAGAGAATTAAAGCTCAAAATTATTTTAAATTGTCTTGTATAGAAGGGAATGATGTTTCCCCTAGTTACTATGAAATTAAAATTATATTTCACTTAGTATACTTGAGTATTAACTTGCACTTTTTGAAAAGTGCTTTAATATGTTGACTGTATAAGTAAATATTAATGTTTGTTAGGAATTAAGATTTTTACATCTACAGAAAAGTGCCTAGCTAGAGCAGAGCAGCCTATTTAATTATATGTTATTGAAAAGAATTGAAATCTGAAATTCATATGCTTACTTTGTGACCTTATAGCTGAAAAATTACAGAAGAGAATCAATTTACTTCTAATACAGCATTTGGAGTTTTTTTAATAACTAGAAATTTTTGTGGTGTTTTTACATTCATTTATTCAGAAATTATATTGTGTGAATGACTGGATTGGAGTCTACTAAACTAACTGTTACCTTTTCAACCTTTTCTCTTTGATCTAATTTAGCAGATTTCATTCCTCCTAGCCCTCCACCCCTCAAAAATTGCTAGATCTTGAGCATTTTAGTGAAAAAGCAGTCCTATGTTTTCCCATCTTATATTGTCCCCTTTTGCTGCCCGCAGACTTCAGCAAGGGTTTATTCATCCACCTGGTTCAGTGGTTTGAAAATCGATCTATTAAAACTAACGTGGCAAATGAAAAGTTATTTCTAGCCTTGGTGTAGTTGACCATGTAAGTGTTGATGCTGGCACAAGTGGTTGAACTGGAGAAAGGTGACACTAATTTTTTGGCAGCAGTACCAGCACTGCTCAAAGTCATTTTGAAACTACAGGATTAGGATTGCTTGTTTGTCATAATAATAACTAGAATTTAATAAAAGAAATATGCTTGTAACAGCTCTCTTGTGAAAACTACAAATAACTTTGAGATACCATATACTTAGAGTAGATACTTTGGAGTAGATAATTCTGTCTTACCCTGATACATATTTATATTTAGTGTTAAAAAGTAGATTAAATGACCAGCTTCTTATAATCTGTCCTCAGTGATGATGACGTAGAAGAAGCTCATCCAATGGATGGAAATGATAGTGATTACGATCCCAAAAAAGAAGCCAAAAAGGAGGTAACAGATAGCTTAACGGTGAATGTCAGTTTGTTTGTTTTCTGTGAATGTGTTACTGTGAAGAAGTATGACTTGGAAGTAAAGCAGTTTAGCTTGCAGCCTGCTGAAATCACAGGGTTTTTAGATGATCAAGACCTTGACAACTTCTGATTCAAACAAAACTATCATATATTTTTGCTATTCTGTGGACATAAATGCATCTCTCATTACCTTCACTATCTCCTGAGCGATCTTCAAGTTTTATACGAGATGGATGCTATCACTGCCTGGTAAAACAACATTCTCCCTGCCTCTGTCTTGTTCATATGTTTACTGGTTGTGAATTATTGGAATCTAAATCTTTGCATTTTAAAATTAAACGACATTTTTCCAAGACTAACCTTTTTTGTTCTTTCAAAGCCACAGTGAGGTTATGCATTTCAACTAATATGTTACTTTATTGAGATGTTTTCTACTAATAACTTTAGAGAAAAACATTTTTGTCTCCTCTAGTGAGGACTTACTGTTAGCTTTATAGATACGTGTGTTTAGGGTGTGTTCAGGTTTGGGGGTTTTTTGAGCTTCTTTTGGTAAACATTAAGTTATTTATGAACAAGACTAGAAAAACACTTAAGCGTGTAAATGTTCAGTTGTTTCCTTGATTGACTTAATGCATTTGGGATTTTCCTAAAATGAGGCAGTTCATGCTTCTTGAGAATATGAGAGGAGAGGCAATGGAAAAACCTTAACATTTCCATGAAGTGGTATCTAGGATTATTAATAAAACTTTGCAGTTCTACCAAAAATGATGTTGATGAGATTCGTAGGTTTAGAATCCATTCTCAGCTTTGCAGTGACCTTAAATATATCTCAGGAGAAAAAGAGGACAATTACCCCTTTCTGTAAAAGAGTTTGAAATTTTGTTTAACATGTCAGGATATGTTTTTTAGAACTTGAAATGGCACAAGATCTAATAACGAACCTTTCCACTTTTCACTCTGCTGTTGTAACAGTGTTCTTGCAATCTGATGATTTGAGTTGCTGCTTAAGCCACTCCTGAATAAGGACTGTTCTGTTCAATTTATTCTCCTTGGTTGTTGTTTGAATCATTACACACAGTCCAGAATGGAAGTAGTGTTGTTGATAGACTTCTAGGAACAGGACAATTTGGTTTGCAGTTTCTGAGGGTCTATTTGGATCTACATAAGATAATTTTGTGATCTAATATTTCTGGTAGGATTTGCGTACTTTCACTTCCTAAGCAAAATATAAACTGAGTAGACTACTTGGAACAGGCAAAGCAATGGAAACTTTCTGTTACCAGAGTAAACTAAAACAAGCGAAACATTAGCTTGGCAAGACAAAAGCTTGAGAGAATATTTTCACTTTAAATACAGATTGAACAGACAGGAACTGCAATTTCATACTGAAAAAGCAATGCAGAACCAAAAAACAAATGGTATAAATGGGCCAGAAGTATACTTCTGGGCCAGTTGGGATTTTTAGATGTCAAAGATGTAGGGCTCAATATCAGCTTTCCAAGGAAGAGCAAATATCTTAAGTGCTTTTAAGGTGGCCTCTATCAATTCTGTGGCCTGGATTAAGATATTACATTAGTGGGAAGAGAATGTAGCAGAAGGTCAAGCAGAGTAGAGCAAAATACTGCTTGCTCATCTGTACTAATGCTACAGAACATAATAATAATGGCTGCCACAGTTTGTTTCCTCTTCAACTGTGATCAGATGACTACCTCTTCTTAACCTGCATGGATGCCAGCAGAGAGGAGCATAGGGAGCCGCTTGAAGTGGCAAAAAAAATGAATCCCATCTCTGTTCTGGTACTAAGCATTGCTTTGAATTGGAAAATCCTTGCAGGGAAAGTAATTTTGCTTCTTTACCCCTCGTCTGTAGGGAGCCTACCTGGTTGCTCTATAGGAGTCACATACACACAGACTAGCTGTTGTGCAACAATGCCCATTGTAGACAAAGCTGAAATTTTTTTGTGTCCAAACATATCAAAACAGCAGTTGCAACGACTTCATCTCCTCTTTGCTATCCCTTTCCACTTCAAAAAACCAAACAACAAAGACTTAAGTTTGCTAAATGACATGGATTTTTATAATGACTGCAAAAGTACATCCATCCTCTCTCTTCTAAATCTCAAATCCCTTCCCAAAGCGAACAGCACTACTGCTTTCCATAGAGTGCTTGCAGCAGGGTAAAGTGTCATCTTGCATTCTTCCCCATATTGGTTGACTTTCTTTTATTCTTCTCCCACCTGAACTCTTTATATCTGACCAGAAATAAATGTGTAAATTCACTGATTACTTGGTTTAAACATGTAATATATATGTTCTTTACCTTCTGCATACATAAGAGGTTCTTCATTTTTGCCCTCTTTCACAGTATTCAGATTGTGATTTCTATATCATTTATTGTATTTTCAGCCATGTTTGGGTTTTTGCTTTGTTTTGTTTTTTTTTAAAAAAAAGAGTTCTGAAAACTGACCTTTCTAAGACTAATGCAGGTTTATCCAGCACATGACTGGTATGGACCATCAGCTCATATGCAAGATTTAGTTTGGATACTGCATGCAGAGGAGGATATTAGCTTAGGTTTTCTTTGTCATAAATATGACATTACAATGCTATGTGATACTTTATTCATTAATAAAGCTGTATACAAGATACTGTTGTTCTTTAATGATTTATTTCTTGTAAATTAAAGGGCAATAACGAGCAGCCTGTTCAGACCAGCAAAATAGGTCTGGGTAGAAGAGAGTATCAGAGCTTGCAACATCGCCACCATTCTCAGCGTTCCAAATGCCGTCCACCAAAAGGCATGTACCTGACCCAGGAAGATGTGATAGCTGTTTCCTGTAGTCCCAATGCAGCCAACACAATTCTTAGACAGCTGGATATGGAACTAATCTCATTAAAGCGACAGGTACCATGGGTTATTGGTCTTGTTTTGTTTTCATCTCAGATTGTTCTGATAGTAATGATTTTGAAGATTATCTGTGAAGATTCTGAAACTTCTTTAATGTGAGTCTTCCTGATTTTGTTCCACAGTTATCGCCAGAAATGCTGGACACTAGCTGCCTAGCTATTTTTCAGTTTTGTTTTTTATGTTTATCTGCTCTTGTGGATAACATGAAAAAAGATTACTTTCTTTTTTTGAAAAATAAAAAAAGGGAGGAAGACTATGGCATGAAAACAATGTTACAGATTTGGGGACAGGAGAAAACTAAAGTCACATTTGATTTGATTTTTTTTAACTTTGTTAAAAGTATTTGTGTGACAAGTGAGAATAAGACCAATGAAGCAGAGGAAATTGTTTGTTATGCTTAAAATTGTAGCTGTTTTTCTGGATGTCCTTCCCCACATACCATGAAAGTATGGGGGTGGGGGGAAATCATGGGCCTAGTTATTTCCCTGAATTGATGAGATTTCTGCTTCTTATTAAATTTAGAAAAGCTTTGTAGTCTTCACCTTTAAGAGGACAATTGCCTGCATCCTTTGCATGAAGAGGTTAACTTTTGGCACTTAAAGTTGAAACACAGAATCTATTCAGTTTCTAAAGGTACAGCAGTATGTGCATGCTTGCTTTCTAGGAGCCATGGCTTATCTCCTGGAATTTCTGCCTCCTTATAGACTGCTGAGAGCTGCCATGGTGCAAAATCATGGAGTGAATGAAGGGTTTCGTGGGGTTTTTGCTCCCTTCTATTCTTTTACAGGAGAAATATGCTTCTTTCTGTCACAGCAGGACTCTGGGGCTAAATAGCATAGGTGGGTTTCACTCTTTAGCCTAAGTGTAGGTGAGTTGCAGCCTTGAGGTCGTGTTTCTCTTTTTTTCTTGCAGTGATCTCAGAGATGCAGCCTTTGGAATCTCCCACTGAGTTGTCTGCTTTTGTGTCCATACTTAAGAAAACTTGTAATAGCTGTGCACCATAGTATGCAAAACCATTTTCTTACATATGTTACGTTACGTGCATTGCTGTCAGGTTTAAATGGTTAATATATATTCATATGTATGATTTGGAAGCTCTTTCCTTTTTATAGTCCAAGATATTTTATTTAAATATTTTAAATCATTTCAAGAATCACCCTTAAAGGACATAATGATGATCTAAGGTCAATAAAAAGCAGTCTGTCAGAAGAAACTAACTGGAAACATCTCATAAATCTTTTTTTTTAAGTGCTTTTTGGAGAAGGAAGAAGTTAATGTGTACAGTACATCTCACTTAGGTTTCTAAGAACCAAGTTTTGTGTCTAGAATATTCTGCATTCTTCTTCAAGAACATGCATCATTATTAAAATTTGTTTGTTATGTCCTGTTTTTAATATTCCTGCAGACAAACTGTTCTTTTGAAAGACTGGCTTAAATATTTTTCTCTCCGTAGTAAACTGTGCTGTATTTTAAAAATATATTTTAAAACAGTTAAAAGTAGTGAAGCCTTAAACCATAATATTTCTCTTTCTAACTTAGGAGGTACACTTGTGGCAATCCTAGTGAAGATATATGTGTAAAGTGACCAACTTTCTTTGTGGAGCTGATTAACTTTGTTGTTTTTGACCAAGGTTCAAAATGCTAAGCAAGTAAACAGTGCACTTAAACAGAAAATGGAAGGCGGGATTGAAGAATTCAAACCTCCTGAGGTAAATCAGAAAAAAATATTAGAACTTGTGGCCTTGCACTTACGTTAGTGAGAAGCTACGGAAATGTGTTTTGCTGCAGGACAGTGTTTGCATTTCAGCAGCAGCTTAAACAAGGTCCATTGAATTGCATGCAGGGGTGAGTCTGGCTTCTTTATAAGAAATTAGTGGTAGGCTTTTTTGTGGCAGCTGGATGAATAAAAAAGCAGGAAAAACTGAAATTTCATGTCTGTTCCTGAAATTGAGCCCTGATATATGGGGTTATTTTCTGATTAGAAGTAGATAATGTAGATTGCTAGCAGTAAGTTCTGTGTGAAGACACAACTATATTTACATTTGGGCATCTGAAGTGAATTATTTATTACTACTGAAGTACTTTTTGCTTGTTTTGAAGGCTTGGATATGAAACATAAACGTGAATGCAAAACACTCCAGACACAAAGTCCTAATAGTTTAGATAAATGTAACTCTAAATTCAGATTCTGTCTGCATGAAGATTAACTTGTGCATAAGTTATGATATAGCTGATATTAAGAACTGCAATAAAGCAGAGGAAAAACTATTGGTGTAGTTCTAAGCCCAAATCCTTAAATGCTAGTTCCTCTTCATGAAAGTAATCTTAAACTATAAATTTATGGCTTATAAGCAAGAGATTTTTACCTCTGTTACAAAATGTAGTGCAAGTAGAACACATTCTGATGCTCAGATATTATGCAGCTGTTGAAATGTTTTAATGATCTTTGTACCATTTTTCTAATTTTAATAGTCTAATCAGAAAATCAATGCCCGTTGGACCACAGAAGAGCAGCTTCTTGCAGTACAAGGTATGTTAATAGTAGTAGCAACTTGAAATCTGATGCAAAGGATTCAAAGAGGTAGTCAGGCTTATGTTTGTATTTCCCTCTAATGAAAACCTAAACCTTATCTGGTCTTACAGCAAAACTAGTGAGAATATTTAGGGAATTCATTCAAGCAACATGACACTAGTCTTTCAGTTACCCATGTTAGATCTCAAATAGAAAAGCTAAGTTGGGTTTAACAACTGTAGTAGTACCAAAAGTCCCTTAAATCATCTTTTAAATCACCTTACATGAATTTCTCTAAAGTGGAAGATTGAATTAATAGTTGAAGTAAAAAAATTTGAAGCAAACAGTTATTAAGACATCTCTCCATATTCTTAAAGTAGGAAAAAGCAGAAGTAACACTGCTTTACAGTTACTTTTCTCTGTTCCTGAGGGAGTAAAAGAACAGATATCTGCCTTTTAAGAGTCTGAAGCTGGATATGGATACTTGATTAATGGTCTTATTGGAGGAAAAAAACAGCATTTTTTAGTAGGCTATTGATACAGTTAATTTGCAATTATTTTATTTATGTGAAGCAAAACTGACTTTTGTCTTGCTTTAACATGCACTGCCTAATCAAGGATCGTGCAAGGGAAATAATCTGGCAAGCCTAACACTGTCTTGAAGACACTATGTATTGACTTGCTTCTATGGATCATCTTTTTTAAGATAATATCAGCTCAGTTATACACATCTGCTTTATTTCTCTGTACTTTTCACCTTTAAAAGAACAGACTGAGTTTTAGTGTAAAACCTTCAGTTGGATCCAGGATATCAGTGTAAGGTTGTCAGGTGTGTCATACCTGCTGGTTATTAGTCAGATGACCGAACCTAAAGTTCGGTTTATTTTGAAGTGGGAATGGAAATGCTGAAGAGCATGGTGTGTCTGAAGTCATACCTCTCAACTTGCATGCCTCACACTGGGATTCGCATCTCCAAACTGTTTTCTGTCTTAAGTTCATCCTCTCAGTATTGCTAACAAGCTCACTTTTTAAATGTTGTTCCCAAAGGCGACTAAAGGAGATGCTTATCTTCAATATGATAGTCTAGTAAGTAGAATGCTTGCTGGAGAAGTGGGAAAAATCCAAGTTCATTGTGCTGCCTTAGCATGAAAGGATTCAAACCATCTTGCATTTTCATAGTTTAGTTATGGGAGCTCTCACTAAGCATCAGTTTGGGAAGTGACAAAAAGGCATTTAGCTTTTGTTAAGCTGTGGCACTATGTGACCGACAAGGTAAATGGTAAAACTGGAGCATGGGCAAAAGAGAATGGGGGTTGGTGATGACTCCCTGGAGAGAAGTTCTAGTCTTCTGGCCTCTTCTCTAGGGAATGTTTTGTGTTTTAGAAAGGTAGTCAGACTCAAGGGTGGGGCAAGAAATCTGGCCTTCTGGAAGAAACTTGTTTCCATTGAATTTACATGGACTTAAATGTATTGTTTCCCCTTCCTTTGCCACTGTATAACATGGAAGTGGGCGAGAACCTTAATGCCAGGAACAGTGTTCCTACTGTTCCTCCCTTACCTACCCCCTCTTAGTAGAGTCTCCCTCCTGGAGCAGAGTGATGTAGGTGTTAACCTCCCATCCCTCAGGCTAAGGACCCTGATCTCTTGCTTCAAAATAATTGCTTGAGCTAGTAGACTTACGCATGAAGGAGCCATACTGTCTTTGGCACTGACTCTGTTCTTAGAAGAAAGTAGCCATGGTTGCTGTACTAAAAGCTACCATGTGTGTGTTAGGCTTGAACTTGGAAGTTGACTTGAGCATGAGGACATTTAGTTTGTACATTTGAAATAGATTTATTTCATCAAATGTATTGATACATTTTGGCACCTACTTTTAATAATTTTAGAGAACTTATAAGCATTAAGCAGGTAGGTGGCACTTCTGTGATTTGTTCACTTCCCTTAAATTCAGACATTAAATCCAACCATGGAAATAATAAAAATAATCTGCAGTAATATAATTTTGGTACTGTTTTTCCTAAACATGAAAAAACTCTTGTTATCTGTGGGCTAATCGCAAGAGATTGGCAGTAACTAAAGAGGGGGTAATGAAAAAACCCACCTTAAATTAGAGCTGAGTATGTAATCTTAAAAGCAGTGTGGCTGCCTGTAATGAGGTTGTGGACTCAGACTTATGATACCTGAGCCAGCCTTTTGCAGTATAATTTATCAGGTTACTGTTCAACTTTGATGCTTCAACAATAAGTAAATAGTTATTGAATATAATGGGCCAGTTCATCACTTGAGGTATTTTTAAATTACAGATTTCATTTATGTATAGAAATGTATGAACACAATCATCTTGTCAGATTAAGATCTCAGCCATATGAAAATTGCAATTGCAAAAATGTTTTAAGACTTTTTCAAAACAACAAAATTTGAATTGGAAAGCAGTGTGTGACTTTCATAGCATTGCACTGGAAAACATTTGGGACAAGCGGGGTCTAACTCTGCGGAAGGTAGTTGCCAGGAGGATTGTAATCCTGCTGCAGTGGAACTGCAGCTCGTAACCCAGAGGTTGCCGTTAACTATTTCTGCCTTGTTGCGGTGCTCTATCGTATTGCTTCGGACCCAGGCTAATGTTTTGTGTGCTGCTCAGTGTTTGCTGTGCTGTGCAACATTAAGCAGCATAGACAGCATCAAAATTGGATTTGTTAATTTCTCTGAGTTAGACGTTCAAGATGAAACATAGTACTAGTGAGCGTGCACATGTTGAAGTGCACCTTTGCAAGTGGGTGAAGTTTTGAAGAGCTTCAAGGATTCCCATGATCAGGGCTGCTTTCAGATGAGCCGGGAGAAAGACACTCAGACATGTCAAGTGAGGCCACGCAGTCATCTTTTTTGAGCTTCACTGTCGGCAACCTAATAAAATTATTCTTATTGAATAACAGATTAAACACTTTAGAAATAATCTGGGTGGTGTTCAGCACAGAATTTGTACAAGGATACATAAGTAATGTGCATCAGTTTGAAAGGGATGGTGAGTTGGCATCAACTCTTACAGATATGCCAGCACCTTACGCATAAAACTTTCATAAGCATGTGTTGAACTTCCTCTGTTCTGCTGCTTGAAAGGATTTTACTGCATCATTCTGTAGAGGTCATTGTGGTGATGCTAGAGCAATACTAAATAACACTCTGAAAAGAATCCAAAATGAGTAGTGCTGTGTGTAGCTAAACTAAAGACATTTTATTTTCTTTAGATATTTCTTATGGTTGGGCTCTCAGTTGAAGGCAAGATACACTGTTTTCAAGCTGTTTACTTGGAAATAGGCTTTAAGACCTTATTTTTGACAACTTGAAGTTAGCCAGCGGGCTCAGTCATTCTGCAGATTAAGGGGAAGGAAGAAGTATAGAGAGCATAGTAACAGAAAAGGCTGAAACCACTAAAAGTCTGAATTAGGTTTCAGACAAAAATGCTTTGTTCTGCTGGGCACTTTGTTCACTTGATTAATTGTGCAGGATGTTAGATGTGTTTCAGTGGACGTTCGCTGATCATTATAAATTAGTAAGGGGTGGTAATGGTAGGGCAATCAAAGAATATTAAAACACTGGAGGGAGTGCTCTGTGGGCACACACAGCTTTTAAGGAGTACAGCTGATACCTTGTACAGCTGATAAGGCACAGAGCCAAATCCCTGTCTTTGCTTTGCCTGGATACATGCCCTCCCACGTGGCTCTGCTAGGTCCCTTTGTTTTCTCTCCAAGGTTCTTGCAGTCAGGATGGTCAGATTCTTTTGTGTGCCCCAGAAAAGATCTTAAATAATGTAGCTGGGCTCTTGACGGTTGAAACATCAGCTTCAGCTAGAGAAATTTTTCCTGGAGCTGAACTGTTTCTCTTAAATTGCAGTGAGTGTACATTACCACATCAGAAGTGCCTATTAACGAAGAAAGTAGAAAAGAGCAGAACAAGCTGAAGGTCATACTCTTCACAATTAAGTTGAAAAGGAACATAGCTTTCAGATTTGAAACAACTCTCACTTTCCAAATCCTTTGCTTCACTTTCTGAAGTGAGGCGTGAAATTGGGCATAAATTTCTTTTTCTGTAATGAGACAGACAGAGTGCCTGTCCTCTAAGCACTGTAATCTGTTCCGAATGAGTTTAGTTGTCAGGAACCTCACTCAGAGGCCTCAGAAGTCATCAAATTGTAAATCACTCATGCACAGCTGAGAGCAAAAAAATGAGTCTTCTGTTTACTCAGTCTGGTGTAAAACTCTGGTTTATTTCATTCAGTCTCCAAACTTTTGGACACTTGTGGTTAAAAATATACTTTGTGCAGCTAAAAGGTGTGTTGCAGGATGCCGGAGAGTGTGAGAATTTTTTTCTTAACCAGGAGAGAGGAGGAACTAGCCACATACACAACAAATACAACTGTGATAAAATCAATGAACTTTAGGTTATGATTCCAATTTTAGGTTACATATGGAATGTTGTACTCAAGGGTTTGGCTTTTTTGTTATTATGCAAGTGTAGTTTTAGAATTTTAAAAAGTACATGTTGGGATTTTCTGATTAAGTATTTTCTTGTGAAGTGTTTGTAAACAAAAGTGACCTACTGATGTCAACATGAAAATGAATGAAAAGAACGATGCAAAGGTCTTCTGTCATGCTGCTTCTTGCTGGAGGATTTGATCCTGGAGCCTTGTCCTGGTCTGCCTTATAAATGGACACCAATAGCTTATTTTTTACTTTTCCCCAGGGTGGTTGTCCCAAAACCCCAAATTCTTCTACCCAGCTCAAATGGTGAATTAAAGCTTTTTTTATAAAAAGACTTTGTCAGATGTATGCTTGCCAGTTGCTCTTCGTAGTCTCAGTGGAGCGTGTCGCAAGGGCAGGAACGAGCAGCATATGGTGACTTGTGGAACTGTGCCCCCCTGTTCTGCCCTGTGCCTGGTCCAGTAGCTGCTGCCCTCTGCCACTCCTGCAGCACAGGTTGTGGGCAAAGAAACGTCCACATCCAGCTGGCACTGAGGGAACCTATAGAAGCTGTCAGTAGCTGTCACTTGACGTGGATAGTGTTATATCCTGTTTACAGCTATACAGACATGCTTGGTCACCCTCCCTCTCCTGTCTTGAACTTGTCTTGGGCTCCTGCACTTACTGCAAGCATACTGGAGGATTTACTTCATTTGTCAGAGGCCAGATCTCTGTGGTTTTAGGTTGGGAGGCTTGGTGAGCAAGCCAGGATCTTTAAGAAGAGTGGGCAATGACCTTTTAAATAAAGTTCTTGATTTGTATGTTGGTAGCTGTGCAATTAAAAGCTATTTTGTTTTAATGGAAATTGAGGCCTTCTAATTGAGAAGTCCTCCTAATTAGCGAGTCCTTGGGTTGCAGGTCCCATAGGTTCTCTCTATAAATACATCACACGTAGCTGTGTCTGACTGATTCTTCACAGCTATGTTATTTACTTTGCCTTCCAGGTGTCCGAAAATATGGTAAAGATTTTCAAGCTATTGCAGATGTAATTGGCAACAAGACTGTTGGCCAAGTGAAGAACTTCTTTGTAAACTACAGGCGTCGGTTTAACTTAGAGGAGGTATTGCAGGAATGGGAAGCGGAACAAGGAACCCTGGCTTCTAATGGTGATGCTTCTGCTTTAGGGGAGGACACAAAAAATACTTCTAATGTGCCATCAGGAAAGAGCACTGATGAAGAAGATGAGGTGTGTTTTGTGTACCAGAAATAAGTAAGCATGGGTTGAGGAACAGCATTTTATTTAGTGATATAATGTAAGGTTAACTGGTGTGGAGTGGCAAACCACATTCTAAAGAATGATGATGAGCTTGCATAGAACTTCAGCCAATGTCGTTAACCAGCTGGGAGCAGGACTGCACCTTTCATAGTGATGATCACGTTACTGTTTTATTGTTAAAATACACTTCTTGTTCTAGAAGAAGACTCTTGCTTCGTAAATATTTTTAGTTCTGCTGTCTATAATGTTTTGGTTGGTGATTTCTTTTCAGTAACTTCTCAGTTTTTTGGTTTTGTTTTTTAAATGCTGTTTCCTGTGTAGTGGACAGTGGCAGCCCAACTGCATTGCATTCTGGCTGGGATGGCTCTTCACGCAGTCTTGTCTTTGTCCTTTGTGCAGGCACAAAGCACTCCGGCCACTCAGTGTTTAGGCCCTTCACCTCCAGCGCAGGCATCTGCTCCAGCGCCTACCGCTCCCATGGCAACTTTAAACCAGCCACCCCCGTTACTTCGTCCAGCGCTTCCTGCTGCTCCTGCTCTCCACCGTCAGCCTCCGCCACTTCAACAGCAGGCGCGGTTTATTCAGCCAAGGCCGACTCTCAATCAGCCTCCCCCACCACTCATCCGCCCAGCTAATTCCATGCCTCCTCGTCTAAACCCAAGGCCAGTGTTGACCACGGTTAGCGGCCAGCAGCCACCCTCGCTTATCGGAATTCAGACAGAATCTCAGTCCACTCTGCACTGAAGAAATAAAGCAGAATTATGCTAACTCCTACATTTGAAAAATTGTATCAATGTACTTTTTTTTTTTTTCTTTTTCCAAATAATGAAGGGGAGAAAAGAGCAAGCCTTCACAGATATCAGACCAGTTTTACAGAGGAGCAAGCTAATAACTAGAAATGGAACCACGTGAATGACCACCTGTATAAAAATATTTTTATGTCAAAGACTTGTACAGCCTACAATACAGCCCTCCTCTATATGAATAACTGTTGAAGGAAGCTAACTTCTTAAATGAATAAATGCTCAACACACCAAGATTTTGTTTAACTGATTTTTACTCTATTTATTTTATTACAGTTCTTTGTAGTCAAGCATCTAACTACAGGAAAGTAGTCTGGCAAATCTAGGAATAGATAATACTGTAGGAGACTTAAATGTAGCGTTGGGTTTTGTGTGTGTGTGTGTGTGTGAATTATTTTTATTTTTTTTACTTTTTAGTGCAAAAAGAATAATGGCCTTAGGTTGATAATTTTTGGCCCTGTTTAGGTAACAGTAGAAGCATTTCACGCACTTGTAAAATGTGTTTCTTCTCTTCATGTTTTTCTCAGAACAGTTTCTCTTGTTCAAAACGGTACTGTCTTATTAAATACTCCTCTGAAAGAGTATTCTGAAGACTCAATGAGCTATTGTACCAAACTTACTAAATCTCACATGTGTTCTACTCATAGAAGTTAACTGAAAACAGGAGTCCATTTTTCTGCTGCAATATCTCTTGTGGGCTGGGGTGGAGAGAGAGGCAGCAACTTCCACCACCCAGGGAGATGACAGGAGAGGAACCATAGAGCAAGAACCATTGATTTGATTTGTTATTCTACTAATTCTTCTAATTTAAGTAGAGTAGAATTTCATTCCTCTGAGAATGGCCGTCTGCAGTTCGTATATGTTAGATCATTGATATCTTGCCTAAGAATTCATGAGGGGAAGTACAGAGGCTGATGGTGGTCATAGAATATTGTGGCACTAGAGTTAACTGCTGCCAGCCCAGTCTTACTGTTAATTGATAATCTCTGATTTCTGCTATTTTAGTGGGGTTGATTAGCTGGGTTGAGGCTATTGTAGGTTTTTGTGTTTGTTTTGTTTTATTGACTAAGTAAAATCTGCATTTGGGTATTATCACTTCCAAATTTTAGGAGACTGGAAGATTTTCTTTCCACTGCGTTCTTGGCCGAAACCTTGATTTTATGCCCAGCAGTGTTTTGGGGGTGTTTTTTTTAGGGGTTTTGTTGGTTTGGGGTTTTTTAATGTAGAAGCTTCTACCCTCCAAGTAAACCAGGCTGCAAATTTCAGTAGCAGTATTTGAAACTGTGTGATCTGAATCAAGCTATTGAAAAATATTGCATTATTTGCTATGTAATAACATTCATGTTGACTGCCGTACTATTTAGAAAATTATTTTTTCTTATATTATAGCTGAAATGGTGTTTGAAAATCCTTTTAAATCCATTCTGTTATTAACTAGATTTGCCCTTGACTAAAATGAGACTTTATTTGAAAATGATATGTGTTCTCCCTAGGCTTTTTCACAGATAAATTGGATCATCTACCAATCAGTTTAGCAGCTGGCTAAGGTCTTGTTATGTGCAAAGGGAAGTTCTTATAGCATCAGATCCTATTTCATTTGTAAATCTAGTATAAAAGTTTGATAGTTGTGGCCTGACTTGCAGTTAAGGTGTTGACCTTTATGGTTTATTTCTTCCTTTAAAAATATTTTCAGACCAAAGCCGAGATTATTTTCCTTTCTGAACAGTTTTCACTAGTGTGCTGAGGTCTCATACAAAAGGTCCTTACTATTTTTCTTTTGCATTGGAGTAGATACTTGGGCACTACGTGAGCATCAGCTGATCTCTCATCTAAGAAAAACAGCATTGTAAAACAAGTGCCAAGGAGTTCGTGGTCACTGAAACTTGTGTTCTGGGAGTCGTAAGTGTCCCCTCACCAGCTGCACACAAATCTGGCTGCTCTCCAGTCTTTAAACTGATAAGAAACCAATCTGGTACATTTTTGCATCCTAAGTGTCTCAGTTCAGTTGTCAAAACAGTGATAAGATACATCTTTGGGATTTTCAGGATTTGTTTGGTTTTTGGGTTTTTTTAGCATTGAGTCTCCTAGGTGTGTGTATTGTACCTTTGCTAATTTTTGTCTTGTCTCTTGTCAATAGACTTCAGTATGCAGAATGTTGGGTGTTGCAGTACAGTTGGCCGCCACCAACTACTATAAAACTGCTCAGTACATTGTAATTCCGTTTAATCTTGTTTAAATATTCTATAACTGGGCAAAGGTGCTGTATTTGAAGGGGGGAGGGAGGGCCAGAGATAGGTAGTATTTCTTAATTTACATACACTGTAGCACACAGTAGGGAACTCCTAGCATTTGTAGTACTAAATAAGTATGTACATAGCAAAATGTCTTTATTGTGTGCTTTGCAGAATATGTGCATACAGTTTGCACGTCCTGTTTTGGGGGTAGGGTTTGTTTTAAGCAGTGTTTGCCTGGAGAGTGATATGCTTGCTGCTTAATCAAAGGATTAAAGTTTCAAAGAAATCTGTGTCTTCTATTTTTATGTACCTTGTAATGGTCTAATATGTTAGGGCCCTTATACTGTGATTCTCTTCTAAATTCATTTATATTTTTTTAAGAATTAGAAATAAAATTATACAATGGTGTTGATTTTGGTGGGGAATTTCTTTTGCCATATCTAGTCTCCTGTTTTGTAATGTAGTAATGAACTCTGACTTCAAGGTTGGCTTAATTTTGTCACTTTAAAAAATGTAAAATGTTTGCACACTAAAGTTTGGCAGAGAACGTGTATCCTACATTGTTCAAAGCTAATGTAACTCTACAGCTTTTTGTACAGTTTATTTTAGTTAATAAAGCAAAACAGTACTAAAAAATGACAGATTTTACAAATGCAAGGCATAATCTGAACGACGTCTTCTAGGAACAACACTTGCAAAATATGGATGTACAAGAACTATCAGATTTAATTGTTGCACTTTAAATCAGAATGGGTATGAAATTAAGCAGATATTTCTGCATTAATAAAATAATCACTAAACATTGCACATCATAGTACAGCAGTTTGTCTTACAGTTGATCATGAGCAAAAGGAATTAGTTACCTCTGTCCTTAGGTTTTTGTTCATACTGTTGGGATTTTTCTTGAATCACACAGTGTTTATTCGTAGAAAACAACACAAAGCTGTAGCTTATATATGGGAGTTTGTGTATGAAGAGAGCAGAATTGCAGAGTTTAGGGAAGAGTTGAGGATGGAGGTTATGCAAACAATGTTGCTGTCCCTCTTGCTAAGGAAAAGAAAGGACTAGACGGCAGTTACAGCTGGTGCTAGGCAGAAATGTGGTTGTTGGGCAAATGCAAAGCCAGGGCAAAGACAAACTTGTCAGAATGGTTTGCTTAGAGGTGCGTTTCAAAATGCAAAGGAAGCCATAGAGAAGTAAGCAGCTGTCACAGTTCCGGTACAGAACGATGCACTGCAAATTGCACTGAATACAACCTGGTTGTTTTAATAAATGTGGTGAACCTCCAGCTTTTCCTGAGGTTAAAATAGCTAAACCTCAGAGTCTGCCTTTCTCTGAGCGAATTAAAAGCAGGTACCGTCACGATAGACATCTGCTTTAAGATCACAGGAAGTTGTATGTGAGCTATGAAGGGCAAATATAAACTCTTTTAACACCACTTGTGTCTGTTACTGATTAATTTGGCATCAAAAATCTGGTCAGGTAGAGAGGAGAGTCAAATACAGCCAACAGGCTCTAGACTGTTTAATAAGCAACTGGCCCATTTTTTATAGCAGACATCCTTAAAATTCATACTAACAGAACTGTAGTGAACTTCGCGGACAAGTAGTACCCAGACTAATCCTAAAAGCTTAAGGAAAAACAAAAACCCAAAACAACAAAAACCCCCACAAAGTCCTCATTTTTTGGAAGAGGGAGTGTTTTAAAGGGTCTCTGCTGTAGTAACAGACCCTACACCTTCACTAGACTCCCAGAATCTTAATGCAATATGGACTGACACCCTTGGGAGTGGCAAGTCTGAGTCACTTTGTCAAAAGAAGAATCTGAAACCATTTTATTACTATTATATTTAGATCTCATAGTAAGACCATCCAGATAATGCAGCCCAATTGTTTCTTTTTCCAATGGTTTATTTTTGTCAGCCTTGGTGCTTTTGTGTGAGTGCTAGTGTGGCATTTTCCTTAGCGGCTGGTTTTCCTAGAAGTGCTTTAACGCGAAAGACAGAACAAAGTGCAGGAGGAGGAGGTGATGGGGAGCGAGTGGTACAACAGCTGCATCAGTGCTGTTGGCTGGAGGATGCTGTGACATCTGGGTTTGTAAAAAATCCTTTGGTATGTCTTGAGGAATTAGCAAATAATACTGGGATCTGGTAGCAGCTACTGTCTGTGTTATTTCTGTACGTAGCATGGGTTTTGTTTTGCCACTCTGGTACCGCATTCTGCTGTTCTGTTCCAGCCAGGCAGGAGATGCGAGGAGGCTGTATTGCCCAAAGGAGGAGCAGGCGGATCCTTACCCAGACGGCGGGCTCCC